GTGGTGGAGGGGATGGTGGCAATGATAGAGGTGGAGTTGGTGGTGGAGGTGGTAGTAATGGTAGTGGTGATGACAACGGTGGAGATGGTGACAGTGGAGGAGATGGCAGAGTCGTTGGTAGTGGACATGATGGTGGAGGAGATGTGCTGAGGAGATGGTGGTGATGGAAGTGGTAGTGATGGACATGATGGTAGAGTTGGTGGCGGTGGAGGAGGTGGTGGAGGAGATGGTGGCAGTGGTGGTAGCAGAGGAATGAAAATCCCTCTGAAACTCACGGCATCGCCCTACACTGTGACACCTCCACCGCACACACACAGGCTCTCTGATCACATGTGGGCCTTCTGTAGTAAAGGGACAGCAAGCTCACCCAGGACACGGCACAGAGCTGGATCCCACTGTCCCTCTGCCTTCCTCACCCAGCTCCAACTCTCGCCACCGTCACTCATGCAGGGAACAGAAATTCTGTGTGTGGAGAGCCCCTGTGTGGTGCCGGGCACTGCTCTAAACGCTCCAGGAATGTTAACTCAGGGAACGCTCAGGACGCCCCATGAGGCAGCGGCGATGCCACCCTCTCCACAGGAGGAACCGAGGTGCACAAAGGCTAGGACGCAGGCTCAAGGTCAGAGGGAGTCAGTGGCAAAGCTGCAAGTCCAGCCCTGGCTCCAGGGTCCGGGTCCTGGTCCCCACCACTGCATCTGGCACCTCTGTGGAAAGTGGGGGAATGGAAGGGAAGGACGGGCTAGGGTGTGGGAGCCCCTCGGAAGCGGCAGCCCAGGTGTGCCCAGCCCAGTGCAGGCTGAGTGAGCAGGCGGGCGGGTGGGCCCCTGCAGCCATGGACACCGTGACTGGAGCAACAGCAACCGCACCACACCCACAGGAACCAAGAGCTGGTCCTGAGCCCCTCCCAGTGGCACCAGGGCTGCTGATGGGACTCTGGGCTCCTTTGCCATCACTGAGGCTGGGCCACCTTGGGGACGTTGCCAGCCCACGCTGCCAGCCCAGAGCTGTCACTCAGGCCCCTTCAGGAGATCAGCTCGTGGGGGTAGGGGTACCTCTCCTGAGAGGCCTCACATGGCTGCCTCCTGAGCCAGACAAGGGAAGTACATGACACCCACACCCGGGAGCTGCCAGTGCAGAAGGCTCATGTGGAGAGAACGGGATCCAGCCTCCCCTCACATCGCTGCAGCTGTCTCACCCTGTCCACAGTGCCTGTGGGCCCACGTTCTGGCCAGCCACTTCCAGACACTTCTGAGACCCCAACCTGGAGTCCAGCTGCAGTGGGCAGTGCCAGGCCTGTGTGCCAACCCAACCTAGAAACACAGCCTCTGGGGGAGGCATCCGCGGGGGTCCCTCCACAAGCTCATTCCCAGCACTTCCACTTTGGAATCCCAGCAGACCCGTGTACCCCAGACCATCCACCCTGGGCCAGGAAGAGGCCACAGACCAGCACCCCCATGGTGGCGATGGACTGGGTCCAGCTCCTTGGCAGAAGAAGGATTAGCCCGGGACGAGGCTGGCAGAAAGGCCGAGTCAGCAGCATGAGTCCACTGGGCCCGAGTGCAGAAAGGGTCCAGGAGACCCAGGTCAGGACAGGGCTGAGCAGCTTGAGCCACCAGTGAGTGGTACCTGCACAACTCCCCGCGCATGACTGTCCCACTTTACCACAGTGGTTCAAGCTGCCTGATGGGACAGGCACACGTGCACCACGGGGGTTCCAGCAGCTGGGAAGTGTTAAAAATAGGAGCCTCGGGGCTACGCAGGCATCCCGGGATGGCTCTGACCCTCACTGCCCAGCCCAGAGTCCCTCCTAGGACAGTGCATGGCTCCAGGGACACTCGGCACTACACACGTTCACCCACACTGCTCTGGATCTGGAGCCCAGATGTGCTGTGCAGATCACCACAGCACACTCCTGGGGCCGCCACCGCTTCTGTGCCTGCCACGGAGGCCAGGCTCACAAAACACACCTGAGAAGAACATGACACCAGTGCTCACCTGGAGGGGTCAACGAATTTGTAGACCGAGCCGTGTGGCGCGTAGGCACTTGGGTACGAGGTGGCCAGGAAGTGGAGCTCCCCTGCAGAGGACAGCGGGCAGGACTGGGACGGGGGCGGCAGCAGTCGCCCTCCTCTCCCCTCAGCTCTGCTCTCCATTTGCCTGCTTCAGCCAGCCCAGAGCTGCTGTTCCTTGTGCCGCTGCCCACTCCTCACCTCTCTTCCGGTCCTCTTGACACCCCCAAAGTCGCCTGCCCCCACATCTCCAGAACCACGTGAGGATCAGCCCACTGCCACCTGCTACTTCCCACTGGGGTCCAGCGGGTCTGGGTCCACCATGCTGGCCCTGTTCTAGCCTCACAGTCTGAGTAATGGGGTGTGCTCCCCCACCATCTCCAGTAAGGCCTCTGCCACCCTCCCAACATTTATACTGAGCTAGGTTCACAGGCTGTCCACATTGGGGGAGAAAGCGACCAAGGAGCCACAGCGTGAGAAGCCCTAAGCATTGCGCAGCTCCTGACTAAACAGTGCTTTCATCCTGGGGTTCTAGGGACAGGGCTGGGCATGGCCTGCCCAGAGCACAGGTGCCCGGCCTGGGAGCACTGGCCCAGGGCAGCTGCTGGAAGCTGTGGCTCGTTGCTGCCCACGGACCGCAGACTCTTCCCCGAAGGATACGGAGGACACGCACTCTCGTCTGCAGCTGCTTCTAACTAGAAATCACAGGTCTGAGCAGAGCCTCCAGTCGGGAAATCCAGTGTCCACAAAGTCCCAGCCAGCAGGGCTGCCACAAGCAGGGCTTCCGGTCTCCACAGCAACCGTGTCCCCTCCTGGCCACTTTCCTTTGTGTGACCACGTCCCTGTGGGTCAGTCTCCCACCCACCAGGCTTCTGCAGCCCTTGCCCGGCTCTGCTCAGGACCCACCAGGCAGCACCCACGGCCCCTCCCGAGCTGGTTCTGAGTTTGTTCCAGCTGGCAGCGGTTGAAGCTACACTCCTAGCTGCGGGTGAGCAGAGCACCGGCTCCTCTGGAGAGTCTCTTCCTGACAGCCAGTGACTGACACATAAAACAATGACTAGGCTGGCAGCGCAGGCACAGGCTACAGTCCCAACACTGGAAGGCGGCGGCCGGAGTGCAAGCCCAAGCCAGCTGGGAACTCAGGGGCTCAGGAAGAACTTGCCTCAAAACTTAAAGCTAAAAAGGGGGAGGGGTGCACAGCTCGGTGTGAAGGCCCTGGGATCCAACTCCCAAAGTGGAAATAATACATACACAATAAATGGGGACCCTCAGATCAAAGCTGACCACCAGGGGAAGGCCCTGCAGAGAGCAGAAGACGTGTGCCGTCCTGCATGGGCACCAGGCGCTGCTGGGCCTCGCTGCTGCCGCCTGCCCTGGGGCAGGCTGCTCCCCGGGCCTGTGGCACCAGGCTCCACAGCCTCCTCTGCCCACCAGCCTCACCGCTTCTGTGTTTGCACTTTCACTTTGGAGCGCACACAGACTTTCTTCTACTAACAGTGCTTGAATTTTCCAAAATACCCTCCGCATCCCAGACTATCAATTCATTAGCCGGTGGGGAGGAAGCAGCCACTGGATCCCGTGCATCCCTCTGCAGGACGGTGCAGCTGCCGGGCAGTGGACAGAGGCGCCTGGGGTGGGGCCCTGCACCCTGGAGACCCTGGGTCAACACGACCCAGAGGCCACTTTCTCACCTGCCTCTGAGTACAGCTCTGGCCACTGCCAAATATCAAGCATATGTAAAACAAAATACAACCACATTTTGGAGCTTTCATCTTTCAAAATAACTTAAAGCTGAAATTAAAATTCAACCCTCTTGTCATAAGCATGGGGAAAAGCTCTACAACCCAGTGGCCCTCTTCCCCAGCCCAGGAGAGCACTTAGGCATCAGGGGCCCTCCAGCCTGTCCAGAGCAACCACCTGCCGGGCGGGCCGCCCGCCCTGCCGCAGGAGTCATCCAGCAGGGGTTCTCCCAGGCTCGCGCACTTTGCTGGGAAAGAGCCAGGAAAGAGCACCCCCTGCCCCGCCCGGGACGAGCTCTTGCTGCCCAGTCTGCTGCCCGGGCCCTGGCCCCTTCCAGTGCCCATCACTGAGGGTAAAAGCTGGGAAGCTCACACCTCTCTCATAGCCCAAGGATTGGAAAAGTCAGGGATCAGGCCTGGGCTGGCCCACACCATCCAGCCAGGATGGGCGGGCTGGTCCTGCCTGTGAGACAGGCGCTAGGGTCACGGCACGGGGCTGAGCGGAGGCAGAGCCGCGCTGAGTGTGTGATGAGAGAGGGCAGTGGCCTCGATCAGCACGGAGGAGCTGCGCTGCCCACGCTGCATGCTGGCGGAGCCCCTGCAAGTGATGCCAGGGTGCCTGATTGAGCCTTCCTTACCTGCCTCGTCCTCTGCAAATGAGATGACAAACTGGCTGTGGGCACTGACCAGCCCTGGGGAGGCACAGGCCGCTGTGTCACCCAGGCAGATATCCCGTTTCCTCCATTTCTGGGTTTTTCTATCTTCCTGCAAAGCCATAATTCGACTGGATGAAAATAAAACCTTATATTTTAGGTATCCGTATCTACCTCCAATGGACTTTTTCCACCTAGAAACAGAGACCCTGGAGCGCTGGGGCTGGGCAGAGGCCAACGATCGGACGCCCCCAACCCAGAGCCACTTTGGACCCTGGCCCTGCAGAAGCTCGCTTCCTGTCAGGAAAGAGGGTGAGCACAGACTCCACAAGATCATCTTTGTGTTAGCTGCGTGGCCTTGGGCTGGTTGCCCAATGTCCCTAAACCCCAGTTTCCTCCTCTGTAAAATGGAGAATAGCAATGTAACTTGTCAGAGAGCAGAGCTCAAAGGCTGATAAAGTAAGACCCATGGAGCTCTCACCATGGTGAAGCACGGGGGAAGCTACATCTGCACAGTCACAAGCGGACACCCTGCACCCCTCTGCCACCTATGTAGGAGGAAAGGAAGTTGGGTGGACTCAGGGCATCCTCAGAAATGCTCAAAGGTGTGTGGGCAGGGCTGTGAGGAAAGGCGTAACGATAAATGAAGTCCTGAAGCTCTAGTGAGTGACATTAAGGACCTTGCCGTTACTAGCTCTCCATCATCTCGATAACCAAGAGTACAAGCATGAAAATGCCTTCGTCCTTCCTGAGGTGAGGTGAGGTGAGGTACTAGGCTCACACTTAGCCAAAAGCCTGCATAAAATAGAACAGCAGCGGCTTAAAAGACATCCAGGGTCAGACAGTGTAGGGGTGCACTCCTAAAGAGACCAAAAGCAAACCAGGGAGTCCTAAGACTGTCCCAGCCCGGGAGGGGAGACACAGGCAATGCCTGACAGGGCCCAGGTTTTTCCACAGCACAGAACTGAGCATCCCGGGAGATCCAAGGAGAAAGCGTTCACAGGAACAACATCAGAGAGAAGATGACACAGAATGAACTCACTTCAGAGAGCTGCCACGCACCCTCCAATGCACACCTGCATGCCCAATAGCAGACACAAGGAAAAGCCACCAATGACAGCAAGAGAGCCACCAGGAAAGTCCCTGGCATGCACACAGCCCTGCGTGGGGTCCCTGGAGTCCTGGGGCATCACAGGGTGCTTGGGAGGTCCTGCCCCTTGAGCAAGGGGCACAGAGCTCCCACAAGCCCACCACTCCAGTCCTCCCCACAAGCGTTGCAGCAAGGCTGGGAAGGGTAAAGAGGGTAAAGCTGCTTCCAAGCAACTCGACTGTGTCTAGGAACACCAACACGGCCAGGGTTGTGCTTTAGCCAAGGTTAAGTGAAAAGTTCCTGGCATTCAATCAAAACTTACTACTCTAGTAAAGAAGGAAGAAAAGGCAACCATTACAAAGAATAAGGTCAGTCCAACAAAATGGTCACAGAACTGGCATTAGACAAAATGATAAAAATGTTAAAATGGTGATTTTGATGCTATCCGATAGGGTCAGAAAGCTACGAAGGTGTGCAGGAGATATTAAAAAGAAAGCCCAAAATCACTATTTCTAAAAGTGAAAAATTTAGAACTGAAACCAAAGTGACTGGAGGGGATAAATGGCTGGTGAGACGTGACACAAGACACATTTTAACTAAGTAAACGTTCAGACGCCGTATGTCAGAATTCCCATGATGCTCTCCGTGTCCTAGCGGGACGTTGATAGCACTAAGCGCACACAGTACAAAAGATGAAAGATGGAAGACCTCAGATCAGTGAGCTCGACTTCCTTCTTCAGTACTATAACTAAAATTAATTAACACTAGCACGAGAAGAAGGAAGGAAAGGAGCATAAATCAATGAAACATGAAATAGAAAAGAAAAGTATCAGTGAACTCAACAGCTGGTATGAAAGAAGATCAATAACAACGTAAACTTCTGACAAGATGAGGTTTACAGCACCTGGCACAGGACGAGTGCCGAAGCAACGACGATAGTTTCTGCAGCTACTGAAAAGACAAGAAAGTAATATTATGAACAGATCAATACCAATGTGCTGGCAATTTAAGAGAACTGGATAAACTCCTTGACAGATGCACACTACGGAGGATCACTCAGAAAGAAACAAATAAATTGAGTAGCTCTCAGGAAGTTGGATTTAGGGTTAAAACTTTCTGCAAGGACTACCTCAGGCTCAGTCGGCTTTCCTTAGAAAAGAAGAATCACAGATGGCAGGGCTACCACACACTCCAGCCAAACTCATCTAGACACCTGAGGCAGAGAAGACGCGGCTCGGCTTGTTCTCTGAAGCTCGCATTACCCAGACAAAGGTATCAGAGGAGAGGAAAGCTTGTGCCCACAACCCTCGCACGAACACAGATGCAAGAAGTTCCAACGTCATCTTAGCCAAGCGAATTCTACAATATACGAAAAGGCTGGTACACCCTGACCAGAAATGCAAGGTTTCTGTAACAAAATACAGCTATTAAATTCATCAAAATGAAAAAAGCAATGATTTTCTAAACAGATGCAAAGAAGCATTTGACAAAATCCAATACAAACTCTCAGCAGACCAGGAATAGAAAGAAAGCTAACCTGACTCAGACCACAAAGAAAAACAGAGCTAACATCATAGTTACTGGTAAAAAAAAAAACCAGATTGCTTCCCCCCACTTACGCCCAGCACTGTACCAGATATTGACACTGAAGCCAAAAATAAAAACCATAAAAGGTCTCTCAATTTGGGAAAAGAAAGTGTCTATATTTACAGATTAAATGATCTTCTACCTAAAAAATTCAGTAGATTTTCTATTTCTATCCTAAAAGCTACCAAGACTTATAAGGTAGCCCATCACAAGCTCAATATACAATGAAATATGTAATAGTGTGCGTGTGTGCGCGCGTGTGCCCATCCCTCATATGAGCAGGCGGGCGCTCACAGGCAAGAAGCGCCCTTAGGGGCTGGGAATACTGTGCATCTGAATGCGGCTGGTGGGAAGACAAGTGTGGAGCATTGTGAAACTACGTCTAACAGGGCCGGCCAGCTACTCAGCAGACTGAAGCGCCTGCTTAGGCAGACACAGGGACAGGGATTTGATCCCTGGTGTGCTGTGCTGGCCCTACCCCCAGGGCACACTGAGACAGAAATTGACACTGGGCGTGGTGGTGCACACCTGTAATCCCAGCTCTTGGGAGGCTGTAAACAGGCAGACCACTAGAGCCTGATCTGTGTAGTGAGACCCTGTACTAAATACATTTTAAAAAGTCTACCACGCTCTTATTTACCACAATTAAACTTAATGAAAATCTTAAAATATAAAAGAGAAAGGGACATTACCCTTACCCACTCATGAAGTCTCCAAAGATGTAGAGGCCATTGAGATTCGGGGACTCACAGCCTCGGTAGACACAGCCCCCAGTGACAGACTTCCCCACCGTGTGGCTATAGGCGTAGATTGGCAGGATGTCATCTGCCCAGGGACAAGGAAAGACAAGAGTGTCATCGCCAAATCTGGGGCTTTGGAGGCAGGAGGGGTTTTTTAAGGCAGCCACCTGGCTTGTGAGGACCATCAGCACGACCCAGGGAGGGTCAGGCAGGCGAGCTAAGCGCCATCACAGGACGGGGCTTCCAGCTAAGCCTAAGCCCCCATCGCTGCACCACAACCTCGGATCACGCGAGGAAGTGAGTCACACTATAAGAGCGTGAGGCAGCTCCGGAAGGCAAAGGGCGGAGGACTAAGGAATGGTGGCGGAGGCTGGGCACACCGCACACCGGGACTACCAGCACTGGGTGTCCCCTCACTCGAGGGCATGTGGCACTCCCCTCCAACTGGAAAATAAATGAAAACCTAAGCTGCTAATCTTGCTTTGCCAATAGTTCTCAAAATAATAGAATTAAAAGTCACGTGTGCATAATTTAAGCTATGGACGCCTGGTCAACCCCATTCACCAATCCACCAAGACACACACTGCTCAGGTCCAGTGTGGGACATAGGAATGTACTTTTTAAAAAATAATCTTAGCCAGGCATGGTGGCACTAACCTGTAATCCCAGCATTCCAAGTGGCCGAGACAGGAGTATGGTGAGTTTGAACCCAGTTTGGACAACTTAGCTACTTAGGGAGACCTTGTCTCAAAATTTTAAAAGGGCTGGATTTTAAAAGGGCACAGATTTAATCCCAGTACCAAAAAAAAAAAAAAGCTTCTTTGGCTTAGCTTCTATCCTAAAATCGGACACCATCCCATTCCTTAGGACAAAATCAGTGTCCCAGAGGTCTACACAAAGCAGGCTGGTTTTATGGAGAAAAGGACTGAAGGTCAGCAGAAGCGAAACCAAGAAGCAGGCCATCATCTCAGTTACTTTCCTGGAAGGGAAAGCAGGACAGAGAGACAGGATGACAGGACAGCAGCTGGGGGAGGGGGCATCAAGAGCAGGCACCGTGGCACTCATGGCCGAGGTCCACTCAAAGTGCCATCCCAAGGACCGTGGCCAAGGGGTCAGGTGTCCCTGTGGTCATTGCCCCAGTGACCAAGGCATGGTGTAAACAGCCGGCCAGGCTGCTCAGAGCTTATCCCCCACCTCGACCTCCAGCCCGCTCACCACAGGCAAGCAGCCCCCACTGGTCCTCACTTACCCAAAGAGGCATTGTGACAGAGTTTGGCGTCATAGCATGCAAAGCCTTCCTTCGCCCTCCAGCCATAGTTCCCGCCTTTCACGATGAGGTCCACCTCTTCAAACCTGTTCTGGCCCACATCCCCACAAAAGATCCGGCCGCGGCCCCGCCGTGTAACTGGGTCCCCTCTGTCCACCGCACAGCGCCACATGTTTCGGACCCCGTAGGCATAGACAGCAGGGTGAGCCCCTGGCTCAGAGAGGAAGGGGTTGTCCTTGGGGACCTGGTACCTGCTGCCACCCTGGCCTGGCCGGTTCACATCGATCCGTAGCACCTTCCCAAGCAGCGAGCTTCTGAAAGACAGAGGCCAAGGGCCAGCAGGGTGAGTGGGGAGGCACAGGGGAGACCCACACCCCACAGGCAGCACAGCCAGGAGGTCCTGGGGGTCACGTGGGGAGGGGCTTGATTTTCTTCTGTTACCACCAGAGCTTTGCACATCCACATTTGGGACCCAAGAGCACTGCCAGGCCAAAGTGCTGTGATACTGGCCTCAGGTGGGCCACAGCCTTAGATTTTTATTGAAGGGTTAAGGACAGCTTCAGTGTGACTTGATCTCAGAGCAGGATTACTTTACACTGGTTTATTCTCCCTTACACAGGAGTGCAGTGGGCAGAAACAGGCCGCGGAGGACACATCTCCTGCTTGCAGAGTGGAGGACGGCAGTCCAGGAGCTGGAGCTGGGGTCTAGTGAGCCGTGGGTACACAGCTCACCCTGCGAGTCCTAATCGCAGCAGGCCTTCGACAAAGGCCAGCTTGGCACAGTTGGTAACCTTCATGTCTGCGTTACTATAGGCTTCTTCTTTTTTTTTTTTTTTTTTTGCAGTACTGGGGATTGAACTCAGGACCCTGCACTTGCCAGACAAGCACTTATTCTACTGAGCTATCTCCCCAGCTCATATCTGCATTATTGGGCCCCACAGAACCTGGGCAGAGCTGCCAGCAGGAACTCGGACGGCCCTGGCCCAAATCCTTGGAGCTGGACTCTGGCTCTGCCTCATGTGGTAGTGGCCCCGTCTGTTAGATGGGCACTGTCACATGGATTTCTTCACCCACGCATGCCCATGGCATACCAGGTGGCCAGTGACACACAGTTTAACACAGGAAGTGACCACTCCCAGCTCTGGAGGCTTTGGGATTACACTCCTGGACCCACGCAGCTTGCACAAGGCCCCTGGCCTGCAGCAGCACGAGTGCCCAGCAGATCTGCCGCCGACCTGGTCTCCAGACCTGTGGGAAGCCCAGGACTGTACTGCAGGGCAGAACTGAGCAGACCCTTGGGATCAGAGACCTGCCAACCTGCCAGGAAATTCTAAATTCCTCTCAGCAGAACTCTCTGAAAGTTACCCTGGGCAGCAGGAACAGTAACTGCCAGAGCAGGCTGTGTCCACCGCTCACAGGACAGGAAACGACCTGCTCTCACTGGCCTCGAGGAGGCCCCACCTTGCAGTAAGAGGCTTGGACGTGACTGCGGCTCAGCTGAACACCCACCGTGGGGCTCCCTGAAGTCTCAGGGTCCCCTGAAGATTCCCCCACCCAGCTTACTTGTTCTGAGCATTTCCAAACTTGCCAAAGGGGTCCCCGGCCTGCCCTCCGTCCCCAGTGAATATGTACAGGTAGCCGTCCAGGCCGAAGAGCAGCTGCCCGCCATTGTGATTGGAGGCTGGCTCGTCTATCTCCAGGATGACCCTGGGAGGGAAGCAGAAACAGCAGCGATCCTACAGCAGCCGGAGCTGCCCGGGGACACCCACAGGGATGGGCTCAGCGCTGCGGCCCGCTGGGCGGCCAGGCCCACTTCAGTGTCCCCAGGACAGCGGCGTGCAGCCTGGCGGCCAGGCTTCAGGAGGGAACTCCCAGGACCGATTCTTCCGCAACCCTGACGTCAGGAGCAGAGGTACAGCCAGGCCAGTGATGTCCCTCCCGCGGAGCACAGTCACTCTGCTCTCCCTGTCCTGCTGGAAGAGGAGGCCGAGCGCAAGGCAAGGGCAGGCACCTGTGGCCCTGAAGCTTGGGGTCACAGCTCTTGTGGCATAAGGAGCCCGGTGCAAGGCCCAGCTCTGGGGTGGAGGACACCCAGCAGCGAGAGGCTGCTGTTGCCTTGGTACCAACGCTGGCTGCGATCCCTCCTCGAGCCCCACAGCTGTCCGCCTTGCTCTCCTCTGAGAGACAGCAGGTTCTCAGGGGACTTGTGGGGGTGACTGCACCCCAAGGGCCACCTGGGGTGGGAGGCTGGAGGCAGAGTGGCTCGTGGGCAGTGTCTCTATGCAGAGATGGGAATTTTCTAAAGTCAGTTATGATAATGGTTGTGAGACTCTGAACAGATTAAAAACCACTGAACTGCAAAGGGCGGGCCGGCTCCTGGGGCTGCGCGCATTGATCAGCAGTGACAGCAACTCCTTCCTCCCCATTCAAAGTCATGCTCCAGAGCCCTGCGCTCCCTCTCTGCACCCAGCTGGACTGGCCTGGCCCCTCGGAACTCGGGGCGCAGCCACACACCCTCATGCCTCCGCCTCACCTCTCTGACTTCAGTTCCGCTCTGTTGGGGTCAGCCCGAGAAACCTTCATCTCACTGATGCGGATCTTCTCCACCTTCTTCTTGGCCAGGCATGAGTAATAAACGTAGAACTTGCGGTTGCGGTGGAACTTGGGATGAAAGGCCATCCCCAGGAAGCCTCTCTCGTCTCCAACCCAGGGCGTGGTCAGCACACTGCTCCTCAGGTCCAGGAAGGGCTTCTCCAGGCGGCTCCCGTCGGGTAGGAACACCCACACCACTCCCACCTGCTCGGCCACAAAGAAGCGATGGGTGGCGTCCCCAGCGTGGACCATGGACACCGGGTTCCTCAGCCCATTGGCCACCTCGACCAGGCAGAGCTGCAGGCAGCCCCGGGGACCCTCAGCCACCACCCCCAGGCTACGAGTGAGCCGGTCACTCCTCAGCACATTGGGGAAGCAGTAGTCCTTGTCCGGGAGTTCGAGCAGGCGGCACAAGTGGGTGGCATTCCCGTCCCGGGGCCACTGGGGGCCACGGTGGCTGGTGAGCAGGGAGACCGCGGACTGGCAGCTGGCATGGAAGGCTGAGCAGTAGTCGGAGCAGAGGCCCGGCAGGTGGCGGAGGGGCGACCGAGGGTTCTCGGCATCATAGAGGTGGGCAGCATAGGGCGAGCACTCCTGGGGGAGGAGGGCGGCTTAGTGGGGGCCAGCAAGGGGGAATAGGGAGTCAGGAGTCTGGAGTACAGGTCCTGATCCCTCCTCTTTAACCCTTTTTCCCCCGGTACTGAGACTTGAACTCAAGACCTTGTGCTTTCCAGGCAGGCACTTGCGCCACTGAGCCGTCTCCCAGGCCCAGATCCCTCCTCTTGGACTCAAGTACTCCACCAGGTTAACAATGCCGAAGGAACCTCAGGTACGGCTGCCCCTCTAGCATCCCCTCCCTCCGGCCTCACACTGGGAGGTGCACCTCAGGATGACTGAGATCAAATTTTGGAATGTTTCCCTTTTCATAAATTGCATGTCTGCCTGAATTTGTTTCTTTATACAAGTCTAGGGCCATGTGGCACCAGTGTCGCATTCGCTAAACCTGGAAGTTGATAGATGACTAGTTCATTTTCTGTGCTTTGCCACATTTGACATACTTTATCATTGCAGTTTAAATGACCAAATCAGACATTTGATGCATCCCACCCTGAGCTTAGGTGTCGAGTAACTTCCTCACAAAATTGATAAACATACGTGTGTTTGATAGATGTGAAGCTCTGTGTGGAGAGCTGCGCCTGTCTGAACTGGGGCTCTTCAGCAACACAAGTGCTCTTCACCCAACACACAAGGGCAGTGGAGCCAAGGAGCCACTGCTAGGCGGACAACCCTAGACTGTGACGTCTGGGGCCCGGACCTCAGCCCTGGGTGCTTGGCACCCCTCCCTGGTGTGGCAGGGTGGACCAGGCTGGGTCCTGTGTGCCTGGCACCAAAGTGCAGGGCCAAGGAGCTGGGAGAAAAAGACACTAGGCTCCCAGTAGCAAAAAGAGACAACAGGGGCTTGGAACACAGAAAAGTCCGGCTCAAAGGGCAGAGCGCGGCCTGGAGCAGAGACAGCCTCCATCCCTGGGCTCCAACGACAATGCCCGACAATGCCCGCCACATCTGGGCAGGGCAGCTGGGACGTCCCACTGTGAGTCCCTCATCTGGCTGGAAACCAGCAGCGCAGGGCAGGTCCCCAGAGGACCACACAGGCCCCAGGCAGGGCCACCCAGCTGGCCAGTCTGTGCCAGGCTCTGGAAGCTCAGTGACCTCTACAAGGAGTCGGGAGAGCCAGCCACTCAGGACCACAGCAGAGGGAGGTGCAGTGCCAGGCCCAGGAGGCGACCTGGACCCCAACACAGGGCCGAGTGCCCAACACCCTGTCTCCCCAGAGTCTGTGCCGCGTTCTCCCCTGGGCTCAGCTGCGACACCTCCCAGGCTGCAGCATTTGAGCCCTGGGAGCAGAAAATGTGAGTCACTGCCCCTCAGCAGCCCCTTGGCCCTGCACTTCAGTGCCGGGCACACAGGACCCAGGCTGGCCCACCCTGCCATACCAGGGAGGAGCGCCAAGCACCCAGGGCTGAGGACTGGGCCCCAGGCTGCCCACACCACCCCTCCCCGCTGGCTCCAGAGCTGCAGGCACATGCTACTCAGGCCCACCTGGCACAGGATGTCCTTGATGTACCCTCTGCACAGTGTGTGGCCCTGCAAGTCCAGGTGGGCCATGATGTCCCGGAACCTTGAGGCGATGTGCAGGTCCTTGTGCCGGTCACAGCACCCGAAGGACTGGTAGTCGGAGCAGAACACAAGGCCCGTGGGGGGGCGGAAAGGAGGCCCATAATCCAGGCACTGGGGGTGTCCCTGCAGTGAGCCCCCCCAGCCCAGCAAGATTGCAAGGCAGAGAGGGAAGGTGACAGGGAAGAGCTGGCAGGGCCAGCAACGCTGGGCACCTCGCAGGCCATTAGCAGACCCGCCGGGCATTGTGGCCTCCAGGCAGTGGCTGTTTGGGTTGGCGCCGCTCGCCCCAAGAGCCTCCTGCTTCTCCCGCCCAACTCATCTTCCTGCCCTCCCTCCACCCCACCCCCGAGCACACTAGGTGTCGCTGGGCAGTGTCCCTCTGGTGGTTGGCAGTCAAGTGTCCCTTGGGAAGCCAGTCCTGGGGACTCAGCCGCTGGGCTGAAAGGTGAGGGTGGCTGGGATTCCTGCCAGGCGGGGTGGGGCACTTGCATGTTTACCAGGTCTCGCAGGCTGAGGGCCCGGGCAGCCAGGGCACCAGTCTTGGAGCGACTGCCCGAGCAGAGCACTCACGGGAGGGCCCACACCATGTGCTGCATGGTGCTGGGACGGGAGGCCAAGGGGACACCTAGGACTGCTGCATCCACGGGGAGGGACAGGGCAAGGAGAGGGAGGTGGCGTCCTACTCCCTGAGGCTGTGAAATTCCTCATCCTGCATAATACATAATCGGCCTTTCCCTCTCCCTGCCCTGGAGAGCAGAGAGCGAGGTGGCCAGCATCCAGGGCCAGGGGGTGAGGCCTGTCCTCACTGAACACAGCTGGTGGCTGTGTTCACATGTGCGTAAGGGAGACAGAAAAACCCATGCCTCCAGCCCCTTTATGGCCCCGATGCTCCCAAGAGGCTCAGGAGAGAAGGGTCAAGAGCCGAGCGTGGTGGCGCTGTCATCCCAGCACTAGGGAGGCTGTGAGTTTGAGAACAGCCTGGGCTACAAAGTGAGCTTAAAGCCAGTCTGAGATGTACAGTGAGACCCTGTTTCAAAAGACATAAGAAGTGATGAGCCAGCAAAATGCACATGCTTGCCGTCTGACCATGGCTTGTGCCTTTCTGCCCTGCAGCAGAGGACTGCTTTGGCTCTAGGCAAGGCTGGGAGCGTCCCTGCCCGTCACACAGGCCTTTGGCACTGACCACTTTTGTCTGAATACAATACTTAAGAAACTTAACAAACCAGGAAGCGCTGGAGTGCTCCCTCCCCCTCCCCCACCACGGTGGACTCAGGAGGGACCCTCCCTCTTCATCTCTGCTGCTGTCCTCCACTTCGTCCTGTGGTAATGTATCAGCGGGCTGTGGTGACATCTAACTTATTTTGTCTGTACAGAATCATGCTCAGGGCTCCCCTGCTGGTGCAGATCCTAACCTCAACCTTCTCTTTGCTGCTACAAGGCTCTGCCCCTTCGCGCTGATGGCTGGGATAGAACCCGGCCTCAAGTGTGCTAAGTGAGAGCTCCGAGCTGCAAGCCGGCAGCTCTAGATCAGGCTCATGGCTCTAGGTGAGGGTCACTGCGTCCCCGGGGGACACCAGCAGTGTTGATGGGACTGGCGGAGACTGTACGAGGTGGAGCTCAGTGGGGAAGTGAGGTCATGGGGGAGTAGCCTCAACCCAGGAGACCTGGAAGGTCCAGCGCTCGCGCCCATTGTCTAGCCCCAATCCCGGCCTAAGCAATGGGGCTGCCCACACAGCCTGCACCCACCAAAACAACGCTTTCCTCTTAACAAGCTGAGTCCCTCTTGTGTTTGGTATAGTAGCAGAAAGCTGACCCCCCCTCCACACGCACACGCACGCACACGCACGCACGCACGCACACACACACACTGGGAGAACAGCATGCCGAGAAATAAGGAGTATGCAGACTCAGGACACACACCTTGCAGGGTCCTTCATTCGTGCCAGGTCCACACCTGCCCCAGGGCACCCCCTTCACTTGGTTTGTGTTCATGGGCGCTGCCAAGTGTTTTGCTTTGCACACGCCCCTTGCACAGCACAGGTCTCTGGTACACATTCCTTGAACGCACGTATGGTCAAGAGCAGAGTCCCACAGGCAGCCCCAGCCCCAGAGGTCTGAGCTGGGGACAGCACCCCGACCACAAGACCTGAGCTAACCCTGCCCTCAGCGTCCACTGTGGCTCCACCATCCTGAAATTTGTGCACTGGCAAAGCTTCTCTTTGAAATGCATATGCACGCCAAGTTTCTTCTAGGAAGGGAACCCTAACCAGCTCTCTGGCTCTCCACTGGCCACCAGGGCAGCCTGTGCACGTGTCACCAAAAGGGATGCCGTGCCTCAGCCCTGCCAAGCCTGTGCTCCAAGCTCTAGATGACACACACTCCCCCACAGCACTGAAGACACAAAATCTTCACACCGGAGGAAGTCAGGCGCGAACGGCCAGACCAGTGCCGCTGCTGACACAGCCCTTCTCTCCTGTGCTCTGTTCACTGTCATGCTTCGTTAAGCCTGCTTTTGTGTTTGTTGGCAGTGCTGGGGCTCAAACCCAGCAACTCTCGCCAGGCAACAGCCCTCCACAAGCTTCACCCCAGTCCCTGCAGGTGACTGCAGTTTCCATGGTGCACTGGCTCAGAGGGCTGATGGCATCAGGGAATCGCCGGGGCTAACTTCAGCCCCAAGGCCTTCTCAGACACACGAGATGCCCGCTGTCCCCAAGTAGGTAAGAATGAGCAGTTTCCTGTTCCATGTAGAATCTGGGTGCATCTTTTGATCTTTTATTGGCATATATGTCTGTTTTACTTCAGTCATCAAAAATATGGAGGGGCTAGTGAGATGGCTCAGTGGTCTAAAGCACCTACTTAGAACAAGCTTAGCAAAGCACAGGGACCGCGGTTCAATCCCCCAGCACCACATGCCAGCCAGCCCGCCCCCTGGTGGGCTGAGCTGGCCACACACACACACACACACACACAAACAAACAAAAAAAAAAAAATAAAAAAAAAATAAATAAAAATATGGAGCCCTCACGTTTTGGGGCAAAAATTCTTGCAAGACTAGCAGGACATAGTTCAGCAGCCACTGCCCATGGGTGACATGAGCTCTTAAAATCAGACACATTTCAGATGGGTTATGCCAACACCTCAGATACAACTGCACAATGCCTGATTATGTAACAATTATGCAATCATTTTACAGTGGGCGTTAAGTGTCAACTCAATAAATATGCATTGTGTGCAAAGTACTGTGCTGGAAGAGGAGTATTTTCTGGAAAGCCGATCCATAGAATAAACTATTGAGAGTTTATACCCCAAGGATAGAATCATGCCCAAATAGCACAAGGCAGCTTTTGTTAGTGCCACAGGGAGGCACAGACCGCCCTGCAGGTTCCAGGAAGGAGAGGTGCATGAGGCCAGGGGTGACCCAGAAACTCAGCAAATGCTCCCAGGTGCAGGCAGAGAACAGACTCGAGCCCTGAGGAGCCGCGGCTGCACTCCGGCGCCAACTCCACCTATGAGCTAGAACCAGCCTGCTCTGAATCGTGCTAGCTCGTCTGGAAGACGACCTAACTGCTTCACTTACTGTCTTAGTCTGCCAGGGTGGCCATGGCTGAGCAGCTTGAACAGAAGGGCACCGTGTCAGTGTCACAGGGTTGGTCCCCAAAGGGTCCTATGGGAGATGGGCGCCAGCCCCCTCCAGGCTGCAGTGGCTTCCAACCTTCTATGACCTGTGGTCTGCAGACACCACGCCCTGTCCACCTGCGTGTGGCCTCTTACTCTCCAGTGTGTGCCTAACTTCCCTCCTGACAAGCACACCAGCGTGCTGGATGGGGCCAAGGTACTACCTCATCGGACATGATTCCCTCCACAAAGGCTCCAAAGCAGGGCGCCTGCACTGTGTCGCTTCTCTCCTGGGGCCGGGCACAGCCACGAGCCACAGCCACTGCTTGGCTGCTCACCTGGGGACAGCAGGTCTGCAGCAATGGGCAGCACAGCTCTCCTTGCGCCATGTGCTGCCTGCCATCAGGGTCTGCACACACTCCAGCCTGAGTGACAAGCACAGGGCCAGGTCAGTGAGGTGTGTAGCCAGAGCGCAGCCTGCGTGTGGAGAGCTCCTCACAGCCTCACACCCCAAGGCCCTGGGTGTTCGGAGCTGGGGCGCGGCTCCACATCCCATCACGAGCAACCGTGCTGCCTTCGCGGCACATGTTCACATCAGCACGCTGTACAGATGCAGGCGGAGTCCGGGACAAAAACACGGCACATGGACAAGATCGCCTGCGTGTCTGTGGCACAGGCTCAGCGAGGACCGCTGGGCGGACAGAGGCTTGGGCGGGTCGTGTGGGTCTGGGCCATGTCCAGGATGGAGCAGCAGCGGGCTCCTCCTGGAGGTGACTGGCCCTTCTCAGAGCTCGAGTCTCAGAGGAGGAATGGTTCATATTTTTAAAAACC